AATTTGGCTCTTAGTCTCTGACTGACTGGCCACCCCGCATTAAGCAGTTGCAGGCATAAAGTTGCTTAAAAATAAAGGGCCTGCTGAAATTAATTATTATGTAATGTATTTTATTTTAACACTTTTTACTTCAGGTGTCTGGTCTGAAATACGGAACCATGTACAACTACAGAGTGTTTGCTGAAAATGCTGCCGGACTCTCAGACCCGTCAAACACCATTGGACCTCTGCTGGCCGACGATCCACATGGTGAGACAGACAACTACTGTAATAAGACAGTTCAGATCAGTTTATATCAGTCAGCTATTAGGGAACAAACTATTATCCAAAAACTAATATCAACCTCAGAAACGAGGCTACTTTACAGTAAACGTTTCAGTTCCCATCATGCCTCTCTCTCTCCTCCACAGTCGGTCCGACCTTCGACCTAAGCGGTTTCAAAGACGGCCTGGAGGTGATTGTGCCCCAGCCACTCACCATCAGAGTCCCCATCACCGGATACCCAACCCCCATGGCCAAGTGGACCTTCGAAGAGAAGGAGCTGACCACCGCTGACGAACGCATCACCATGACAACCAAGTCCACATTCACAGAACTGATTATCACACCGAGCGTCCGCCCAGACAAAGGCACCTACACCCTGCACCTGAAGAACAACGTCACGTCTGTCTCCGGAGAGATCGAAGTCAATGTCATCGGTACGCCATGAAAAACTATTTTCTAGTCCAGAACAAAGCTGAAGCTGTTTTTACTTCTTGTTAAAATTTCGGTGTCGTTGTGTTTCTGTTTGCGTCCTCCAGCGGCGCCCAGCGCTCCGAAGGACTTTAAGGTTTTGGAGGTGACCCGACAGCACGTCCACCTGAGCTGGGAGGCTCCAGAGCACGACGGAGGAAGCCCTCTGACCGGCTACCAGGTGGAGAAACGGGACATGTCCCGCAAGACCTGGGTCAAGGTACGTCATCAACATCTGTATACCATAGTAATTTATCTTAATATAGAGATCACTGTCCAGTGAAAGTCCTTTGTTATAACACCTGTATCAACAGTATTTCAACTCAACTTTATTCACATACAAACATGCAGCCCAAAGTGCTTCACATAACAAACAGAAACAACACATAAAAATAGAAATGAACCACAATAAATAACATTTTGCTAAAAATAAATACAATAGAAACAATAAAATGTCAATATAAAAATAAATACCTGGGGAACAAATAATGTAGAAATCAATAATTAAAACCTAAAAACTAAGGCTTTGACATTCAAGTAAAAGGCAAATAAAGAAAAGGGGTTTAATTTACTTTTTAAAAAGAGCCGTTCTAATATTCAGAGCTGACTTGACCTGACCTGACCTAACTTAATCTATTTCTCTGTTCTCTCTCTCAGGTGGTCACAGGAATCCAGGATCTGGAGTTCACCGTTACCGACGTGGTTGAAGGAAAGGAGTATCTGTTTAGAGTCACCGCCTGCAACAAGTGCGGACCAGGAGAGCCGGCGTACATCGACGAGCCTGTCAACGTCTCCTCTCCTGCCAGTGAGTCACAGCAGGAACGAGTGGGATTTTCATTTCATCACTCATTTCCAAGTCAGGAACTTTCTAACCCCTCTGTCTTTTTTATTTCCAGCCATCCCCGACCCTCCGGAGAACCTGAGGTGGAGAGACAAGTCGGCCAGCGGCATCTTCCTGACCTGGGAGCCACCAAAGTACGACGGTGGCACGGGTATCCGAGGCTACAATGTGGACCGCTGCCAGAGAGGAACCGATAAGTGGGAGCCCTGCGGGGACATGGTACCTGAACTGAAGTGCCAGGTGACTGGTCTGATTGAGGGCCAGTGGTACTCCTACAGAGTCCGTGCCCTGAACCGACTCGGAGCCAGCCAGCCCTGCAAGGCCACCGACGAGATCCAGGCCGTTGATCCCAAAGGTACCCAGAAATAGAGTGACGAGGAATCAACCTAATTATATTATATGCTTATATTCTACATTCAACACCAGAGGGGGTTCTATACCACACACTGACTACACATAGTGGCATGCTGGGAAATACATATTGATGTAGTACAGCAGTTTCTGATAAAGTTAATAGTTCAACTTCTGACTGACTCCTCGTCCGTAATGTCCATGCAGAGCCTCCAGAGATCCAGCTGGACGCCAAGCTACTGGCCGGTCTGACTGCCAACGCTGGCAGCAAGATTGAACTCCCCGCCGAGGTGACGGGTAAGCCCGAACCCCGTGTGAAATGGACCAAGGCCGACCTGGTCCTCAAACCAGACGACAGGGTGTCCATTGACACCAAGCCAGGACACTCCACCGTCACCATTGCCAAGACCAAGAGAGACGACAGCTCTACCTATATCATTGAGGCCACCAACAGCAGTGGCCGTGCTACTGCCACTGTCGATGTCAACATCCTCGGTAAGACCAGTTGACAATGGAGAAAGGTCTTCATATTGACTTTCTTAGTTCTTGGTTAATTTCAAATGTACTTTCCTCACACAGATAAGCCCGGTCCTCCGGCTGCCTTCGACATCTCCGAGATCACCAACGAGTCCTGCTTCCTGGCCTGGAACCCTCCACGTGACGATGGCGGCTCCAGAGTCACCAACTACATCGTCGAGCGCAGAGCTGCCGACAGCGAGATCTGGCACCGACTGTCTTCCACCATTAAACAGACCACGTACAAACCCGTGGGCCTGGTCAAGTTCAAGGAATACATCTTCAGAGTCTTCGCTGAGAACCAGTTTGGTGTTGGCCCACCAGCTGAACACCCATCCATCATCGCCAGATACCCCTTCGGTAGGTCAAGCCCCTGTGACACCTTGTTACTCAAAACTTGAAACTGTGTCTGTATGGTAAATATAAGGCTACAGCTGCAGCTAACTAACTACAGTTTCATAAGCAGTTGTAATTGTGGATCTGGGAATTTGGCGCACATTACTGCAACACCAACAAAATGAACAAAAGTGAGTCAAACTGAGTTCAGTGTTGACAAGACAAAAGAAGGAATTAACCTACTAGACCCTAGATAATATCTGTACCAAAACAAAATAATAAAGTCCTGAGCTTTTTATTGTAGATACTTAAAGTTGTCATCAGTCACTGGAACTGGGAATATACATCATAAAGTTAAGATCTCTGATTTTTTCACTGGTTTCCAATTGTAAATCTACAAATGGCTCTTCTGACTAAGCGCCCCCATCTTTAGAATTTGAATCTTCATTAAAATATGAAAATTGGATCCTATTTCGTCGTGTCTCCTAGGCTTCAGTTGCCAGGTCTAACTTCATGCCTCTTGTCCTCAGACACTCCTGGAGCTCCTTACAAGCTGGAGGCTTCAGACATCGCAAAGGACTCCCTGAGTCTGGCCTGGTACGAGCCCGATGAGGACGGAGGAAGCCCCATTACAGGATACTGGGTGGAGAGATACGAACCCGACCACGACAAGTGGATCAGATGCAACAAGCTGCCCATCAAAGACACAAACTACAGGTGAGTCTCGCTGACCACTGACTGAAATGAGCTTTACACTCTCCTTGTTGGATTTCGTTGTGCTGATGTGACATGTTTTCCTCTGCAGAGTCAAAGGACTCCCCACCAGGAAGAAGTACAAGTTCAGAGTCCTGGCTGAGAATCTGGCTGGAACTGGAAAACCCAGCAAAGAGACAGACCCGATCCTTGTCAAAGATCCTATCGGTACAAAAACGTTTATACTCACTCAAGTTGTGTATGAGCATCAGAAATCCTTTCAGTTAAAAACATTGTTGCCTCACTCTTTCAGATCCTCCATGGCCTCCCGGTAAACCTACGGTGAAGGACGTGGCCAAGACTTCCTGCTTCCTGATGTGGACCAAACCGGAGCACGACGGTGGAGCAAAGATCGACGGCTACATTATTGAGATGCTGAAGAGTGGTACCATGGATTGGATCCGCGTGGCGGAGGACATCAACATCCTGGAGCACTTCCTGAAGGGACTGATGGAGAAGCAAGAGTACTCGTTCAGGGTGCGAGCTGTGAACATGGCTGGAGAGAGCGAACCCAGCGAGCCCAGTGACCCAGTGCTCTGCAAAGAGAGACTCAGTAAGTGGAACTGATGCTATAAAACAGACACATACCAAACTCTCATAATAATATCTTTTTCCAGTCCAAACTAGATAGATAGATAGATATCACTTGTGTGTGTTTTAAAACCATGAATATAGTTTGGACACAAATAAAGCGGTGGAAGATCAATAAGGTGCACTATGTTGTAAATATGATTTTTGATACAGTCAGCATATCAGAGGCTAATTGACACATTCAGCATATAACAGTAAATCTTTGTGTTGATCTCCTCAGACCCTCCTTCAGCTCCTCGCTGGTTGGACGTGGTCAGCATCAGCAGGAACAGCGCCGAGTTAAAGTGGACGGTTCCCGAGCGTGACGGAGGCTCCAAAATCACCAACTACGTGGTGGAGAAGCGTGACGTCAGGCGTAAAGGCTGGCAGGCCGTTGACACCACAGTGAAGGAGGTGAAGTACACTGTGAAGCCGCTCAACGAAGGATCGCTCTATGTGTTCCGCGTCGCTGCAGAAAACGCCGTGGGTGTTGGACCGTTCTGCGAGCTCACAGACTCTGTGCTGGCCAAAGACACTTTCAGTAAGTCTTAGTCAGGTATATGTTAATTATTTCAACAGGAGGATGAAGAAAATCCCCATGAACTGCTTTATTGATGATAATAAGATTATTTTCTTTGTTTCAGCCACTCCTGGGCCACCATACGCCCTCGCTGTCAATGCTGTGAGCAAAAGATACGTGGACCTGCAGTGGGAGGCTCCTAAAAATGACGGTGGCCGACCCATCCTCAGGTAAGTTTTTATTTCAACCAAATCCTTATTAGCAATATTTAACAATAAATACATTCATGACATCCTTATGATGGATTCATCTGCTGCTCCCGACACAATGTCACTATATTTTAGTTTTATATAATTTATTTTTCCCATAGTCTCTAGATGTGTTCAATTAAAAGGATTTATTTAACTATACAATTAGTTGTACGAAAATAACGATATAACAAATACGATATGATACAAAGATTCAAATCAATGAGATTTTATTTCTAATAATAAAAATATCTTTATTTATATAGCACTTACACACAAACAAAGTGACTAAAGGCTTCACATAAAAAGCAAAAATCACAAACAAAATTTAGAAACACAGCAATAAAAGTCAAATCAAAGCACTTAATGAAACATATAAAATTTCAAAACCCCTAAACAGAATAAAAAACAAGAGTCAGATAAAATCAGGGAAGGTAAAGTGCGATAAAAGTACATTTTGAGCTTAGATTTGAAAGAAGTCATGAAGCGTCTTTACCTTTTGATGGCTCCGACCTCCAGGTATTCCTTGGAGAAGAAGGAGAAGCTTGGAACCCGCTGGGTAAAATGCGGGAAGACTTCAGGTCCAGACTGTAAGTACAGAGTGACAGACGTCATCGAGGGAACAGAGGTTCAGTTCCAGGTCAGAGCCGAGAACGAGGCTGGTGTCGGCCACCCAAGTGAGCCCACCGAGATCCTCACCATCGAAGATCCAACAGGTGAGCGCACTAACGAGTAATGGCTAGTTACCAAAATAAGGGAAGGTGGGAGAAAAGTCTAAATCCGTCTGTCCTGTCCTTTCCAGGCACCCCATCACCACCCGTCGAGCTGCATGTGACCGGAGCCAGCCGTGACTTCCTGGCCATTGCCTGGAAGCCTCCACTGAGAGATGGCGGCTGCCCCATCAGCGGCTACCACATTGAGATGTGTGAGGCCGGGACAGAGAAGTGGATGAGGGTCAATTCTCGGCCAGTGAAGGAGCTGAAGTACCGCGTGGAAGAGGGCGTGGTCCCCGAGAAGGAGTACATCCTGAGAGTGAGGGCCATCAACGCCATCGGAGTCAGCGAGCCATCCGACATCTCTGAAAACGTCTTCGCCAAAGAATCCGACTGTAAGAGCGTCGACTGGTCACAACGCCGTCAATAAAGCGTCACACTTCTTGTGTGACCTACTGTAAATCATCAAACTGACACTAATAGGTGGATGTTCTATTTCCAGGTAACCCGACACTGGAATTCCAGACTCTGGATCTGGTTGTTGTGGAAACAGAGAAGCTGCACATCCCAGTTCCCTTCAGAGCCATCCCCTCACCCAGAATCACCTGGCACAAAGACGGCAAGGAGCTAAAGGCCGACGAACGCCTCGGCTTCAGGTCAGTGCGACATTTAATCTGTTCCAGTCTTGGAGCCTAATTTAGGATGAAAAGTAAACATATTAGAACTAAAGACTATACAAAAACTCTGCACCAGCTGAAGTGTTTTTGGTCAATATTCACCACTAAATGATTAATCTGCAGATTATTTTTGCAGCTAATTATCAGCTAATCGTTTAATCTATATAATGTTAGACAATAGTGAATAATGTCCGCCACAGTCCAAGCTGATGTGTTCAAATGTTCACAGTGTGAAACCCGTTAAGTTCACTGTGATATTAAACAGATAACTACAGCAGATCCTAATATTGGAGACACTGGAACCTAATTATTTTTGGCATTATTGCTTAGAAAATGACTTCAGTGGCGTTTCAGCTCTAATTCCATACCATAAATTTTATTTACACTAATCACATTAGTCTAAAAAGGTAATGGATCTGCTTTAGGGTCTTTTGTGGTCTAGCAGTTTTTGTCAGTGTGCGCAGCAGTGCCTGATGGGATTGCTTGTGTTCAACAGGAAGGAGTATATTTCCTGTCACCTGGAGGTTGAGAGCAGCCTTCACGCCGATGCCGGACAGTACAAAGTGACTCTGGAGAACAAACTGGGAGCTGCCAGCGCCACCATCAACGTCAAAGTCATCGGTACATAATCACACATCCAGTGTTTACATCATCACACAGACGTCAGTCTCCTGGACGCTGCAGATTACTCTTTAACTGTCTTTGTCTCTCTGTCTTCAGGTCTTCCTGGTCCCTGTAAGGAAATCCTGGCCTCTGACATCACAAAGAGCTCCTGCAAAGTTACCTGGGATCTTCCAGACTACGATGGCGGCAGCCCGATTCTTCACTACGTCCTGCAGGTCCGAGATAGCAGCATGGTTTTAAACGTGACATTCTTATTTTTCTATTTGTATTATTTCTTTTTTTTCTGTTGTGTTGTTTCTTGAGCAGCTGTAATTTCGCCAGTGTGGGCTCAATAATCTTATCTGATCAGGACCTGGGTTTGAAAGAAACTGATTTTTCTTTTGTTTATTTGTTTGTTTGTGTGTACAGCGGCGTGAGGCCGGCAGAAGGACGTATGTCAACATGATGTCCGGAGAGAACAAGGTGAGCTGGAACGTGAAAGACCTCATCCCCAACGGAGAATACTACTTCAGAGTCCAGGCTGTCAACAAGATCGGAGGAGGAGAGTTTGTCGAGCTCCGCAACCCCGTCATTGCTGAGGACCAGAAACGTAAGAAAACATTTCCTGTTTGATATAATACAAGAAAATGTATTTTGTATTAATTGTTAAAGAGCCACTGTGGCACTTTTACAAATCAGTTTGCAATCAGTCTAACCGAAATCCGTCTCTTGTCCCAGATGCTCCTGACCCGCCGGTGGACGTGGAGACCCATAACCCCACATCAAGCACCATCACTCTGACCTGGAAGCCACCCATGTATGACGGTGGCGCCAAGATCATGGGCTATGCCCTGGAGAAGCAGCAGAAGGGAGAGGACAAGTGGGAGAGGTGCAACGACTTCCTTGTGCCTGTCCTGTCCTACACCGTCAGAAGGCTGACGGAGGGCAAGAACTACTCCTTCAGAGTCAAAGCTGAAAACGCCGCCGGGGTCAGCGAGCCGTCACGCAACACACCATTCGTCAAGGCCTCGGACAGCATCGGTAAGGAGTTCAGTTCTTGAAGACCTCAAAAAAAAAATTATACTGTCTCATTGCAAGGCAAATGTATTCCTGTAAACTGCCTGTAAAGTCTCGCCCCTTTTTGCTCTGGCTCCAATAACAGTTGAGCAAGCCTCAGTCAGAACCTGTATTGTGAACTTGAAACAATACATAAAAGCAATAAACACAACTTAAGAAGCTGTTTTAAAGGTGGTGTGACACAGTTCTCATTACAGCAGGCAAATGTTTACAGCAGGCAAATGTTTCTTTAATAATAATGCTGCTGTGCAGTTTTCAGCTGTACGTTTTGTTGATTCTTCTTTTTCGTTCTCTCTCAGATCCTCCGAAGGTTTTCCTGAGTGGCAGCCTGCAGTCCGGTCTCAGCGTAAAGCGAGGCTGCGAGATCTGCCTGAACGCCAACATTTCTGGCTCGCCTTACCCTCAGATCACCTGGTACTGGAACAACCAGGTGATCCGGCCTGAGCCGCTCCGCAAGAGGCCCGAAAAACCCCTGAAGAAGAAGGTAGAGAAAAAGGAAGAGGAAAAGAAGGAGGAGGAGAAAAAGGAGAAGGGAGAGGCCGAGAAGAAGGAAGAGAAGGCTGGAGAGGTGAAGGAAGGAGAAGAGAAGAAGGAAGGAGAGGATAAGAAAGAGGAGGAGAAGAAGGAGGATGAGAAGAAGGAAGAGGAGTCAGCAGTGCCTGAGGTGGAGGAGACCGACTACCCGACAATAAACGAACGTCTGACCATCAACAACAGCAACAGGGGCGAGTCCTCTGTGGTCATCAAGGACTCGATCCGCACCGACCATGGCGTCTACATGGTGAAGGTGGAGAACGACCACGGCATCGCCTCGGCAACCTGCGAGGTCAACGTGCTCGGTGAGAATTCTTCTTTTTTCTGTGTTTAATGTCAGATCTATAGTAACATGTTCATGCATTTCTAAACACATACACAACTTTTAATGAAAAAAAGAATGTATAATCCTAAAAATGCACTACATATACATCCCGGTACATATATCCCAGTATATATAGAAATTAGGGGTACATTACTAGAGCTGAAACAATTTGTCAATAAATCTTATTTATATATTTTGATGAATTTTTCAAATAAATATACCAAATATTGTTTTGTCTATTGATTGGACAAAACAAGTCATCAAGCTTCAGGAAATAATGATGAGAATAATAATTTTCACTTTTATATGATATTTTATAGACATAGAAAATTATTTATCGAATAATTGCGAAAATAGCAGATTTGCAATTTTTAAAAATTTTGAAATTAGTGATTTTTTACATATTTAGGTAAATTACTCAATAAAATAAGTGATTATGAGTTTCAAGCAGAGAGCAGACTTGTGAAATTAAATTAGGAAATGAAGTATGAATAAAGTATGGCGTACCCACGGGATCCATCCTGAGACCTCTCCTGTTAAGATGAATACAGACAATACTGTAATTTATGTCCATGCAAAAACCAAAAAACAAGTCGTTTCTAAACTCAGTGAAAACAGTGAATGTAAATGTAACTAAATGGCTTGATGGTTCACACATATTACTTAATGTAAAGAAAAATGTTTCTTTACAAAAACACACTGTATATAATCCCATGTCTGGATAGATCATCCAAGTAGTCCCTCGTTCAAACATTAAAAGTATCCTCCGATATATATACCTACTGTAGTTTTTAGATATTTCATAAGTAAAAACATGATCCTTTTTCTGTATGCAGATACTCCTGGGCCTCCTGTGAACTTCAAATTTGAGGAAGTGAGGAAGAACTCTGTTATCTGCAAGTGGGATCCTCCTCTGGACGATGGCGGCAGTGAAATCCTCAACTACACTCTGGAGAAGAAGGACAACTCGAAGCTGGAGATCGGCTGGAGCTGCGTCACCTCCACACTGAGAGGTTGCCGCTACCTGGTGCCCAAACTCATTGAGAAAAAGGAGTACATCTTTAGGGTTGTGGCTGAGAACAAGTTTGGCGCTGGTCCATACTGCATCTCCAAACCACTCATCGCCAAGAATCCTTTCGGTATGGTATTATTTATTATTACTCCTGTTTATTTCAAGTCTGTTACATATATGACTTATGCTTTAACAAATACATTTTCAAATAGTTATAAATAAATGATTCTTACTGTAAGCTTACAATGTTTGTGAGTATCTATAATATTCCATTTTTACCATGTGTGGTAAATCACTACTTAATCACAACTTAAAAAAGCTAACAAGCTTTGTTAAATTATAAGGTTTATTTAGCTTACCATGTTAGCACATTTATGTAGACTTGCCACTGTTGTTAGCTTACCACTCACTCCCTAATGATATTTTTTTTTCTCGCATTAAAAGTGCAAAAAATACATGGAAAAGAATTAAGAAAAAAACTTGCGTCTGACTTAATTTTTTTCTGCTGTCCTATCCATTCGTTTTCCTCAGAACCTCCCGAGGCTCCTGACAAGCCAGAGATTGATGACATTACAGCCCACAGCATGCTGGTCACATGGAACAAGCCAAACGATAATGGCAGCCCCATCTTGGGATACTGGGTGGAGCGCCGTGAGATCAACAGTTCGCACTGGGCACGTGTCAACAGGTGGGGAAACACAAAGACCTTCTTTTCTCTACTGGGACTCACACACAAGTTGGTATTGACTGAATTTTACTAAAAATATTTTTGCCAGTTTTCTGAATGTTCCCTTCTGTCCTGCCCTTTAGGAACATCGTCAGTGACACTGAGCTGAATGTTGAAGGTCTACTGGAGGGTCTGACTTACATCTTCAGGGTGGCGGCTGAAAACCAAGCCGGCCCCGGAAAGTTCAGTCCCCCCTCTGAACCCAAGACAGCCCAGGCTCCGATCCGTACGTAAACTGTTTAATACTTCTGTTCACGACTCTGATCAAATAGTACTATAGACAGTACTCAGAAAACTAGAATCATAATCAGGATGAATTATGTCCATCGAAATATAGTCAGTCGCGAGTTAACATGTCCCATCTGTGTTTATTTGACACTTTAGTACCTCCTGGACCTCCAGTTGCTCGAGTGTTGACAACTACTGACCACTCCATTGAAGTGGAATGGGACCCACCTGTTGACAACGGTGGAGGAGACATCCTGGGATACCACGTGGATAAGGTCAGATCATCAAGTCACCTGATACTTTTTCAGCTTTACTCACATTTGTTTTCAGCTTCCTGCCTGCAGCTGCAGGTTCAAATGTGATGAATCAGACTTCCTCAACCCAAGAATCAAACTGTCTTGATTTCAATTGAGACGAATGTTTGCTTTGCGGTGTTCTTCAGGCCGTGGCTGGGAGCAAGGACTGGTCCAGGTCTACAGAGCGTCCCTGGAAGAACCGCGTCTTCACTGTCTATGGAGTCCGTGAGGGAGCCAAGTACCTGGTCAGAGTCATTGCCTGCAATGCTGCCGGAGAAGGAACACCAGGATTCACAGAGTCTGTGTTCGTCAGGAATCCTGCAGGTCAGTAGAAGAAAATAAAGAGACCGAAATTGGGATCGCTAGATCTATTGCTGTCTGATCAAATGTCAATTTAAATCTTAAAGCTTTTTTTGTCGTTGTTGGCTTTTCTCCTTGGTTGCTGATTGCCTTCCACAGAGGTGCCTCTGATTGAACTGGAACTGTCCGTCAAGAGTGGTGTGATAATCAGAGCTGGAGAGATACTCCGTGTACCTGCTACAGTCACAGGTAAACCATACCCGTCCATCACCTGGACTAAAGACGATGCCAAACCTGACAAAGACCGTGTGGAGATCCTCACTGAGGGCAACGACAGTGTTGTTTCAATCAAGAATGTTCAGAGGAAGGACAGTGGCAAATACCACATCTCTGCTTGCAACCCCAGTGGCATCAAGGCTGCTTCCATCAGAGTGGAGGTCATGGGTGAGTGGAAGTTGAGGAATACAGGGTGGGACTTAATAATAAGACTTGACAGACAACTTGGAATTAATTGATGCTATGAAATAAAAATGAACACAGAGGTATTATTTTGCTTTATCTTCAGATGTCCCCGGACCCGTCACAGACCTGAAGCCTGTTGTTGTCACTCGCAAGATGATCTTCTTGAACTGGGATGACCCAGAGGATGACGGAGGTAGCGACCTGACCGGCTTCATTGTGGAGCGAAGAGACGCCAAGATGCACACATGGAGGCAGCCTGTTGAAACTGCTTCATCCAAGTGTGAATGCGTTGGCATAATGGAGGGACAGGAGTACTTCTTCCGGGTCATCGCCAAGAACAAGTACGGCATGGGCCCGCCTGTCGAGCTGGGACCCATCAAGGCTGTGGACCCACAGGGTGAGTCCTAAAATTGCTTGTTTTTGATTCGGAAATAAATTTCTAGTTTTATTCCTTGTGAGGAGACAGAAGACTTCAGAAGTGATCTTGGTAGAAAGATTGGATTTGTACTTACTAATCAATGTTGTTGTGGTTATGCAGGCCCACCATCATACCCCGAGAAGTTTCACTACATTGAACGCACCAAGAACTCCATCACATTTTCTTGGAAGCCACCACGTAATGATGGTGGCAGCCCTGTCATTGGCTACTTTATTGAGAAGAAGAGGCAGGACCAGCCGGCCTTCGAGCCCTGCAACACAGAGATTTGCCCCAACATGACCATGACCGTTGAGGGTCTGGAAGAGGACTGGATGTATGAGTTCAGGATCAAGTGCGCCAACCTAATCGGAGAGAGCGAGCCATCTATCCCGTTAACTGTGGTCATCCAAGATGATGAAGGTAAGGCTGAATGAAAGAAAGAAAAAATAAATTAGATCAAATTATTACCAATGCTAATGGTGCACACTAGCGTTTTCCACTTTGTGCTGATTTGTTCCTATCCTTCTCAGTGTCTCCTGAGGTCCACATGCTGAAGCACTTCAAGGGCGACTCCATTACCGTGAAGAAGGGTGAGCCCATTGAGATCCCTGCTGATGTCCTCGGCCTACCCATCCCGAAGGTGGAGTGGACCAAGGATGACGTAGTAATTGACACGCCCACCGAGGCTCTGCTGATAGAGACAGTAGATACTGGCAGGATGAACTGCAAGACCACACTGACCATCCCAACAGCCAACAGGAGGGACCGTGGCAGCTACACTGTGTCTGCCTCCAACAACATGGGCTCAGCCAAGCACACCATCTTTGTCATGGTTCTAGGTAGGTTGAAACATATCACTGACTCAAGCAAAGACAGAAAAGACAGGATGTGCTCATTAGTATTTACAATATTGTAAGTAAATGTATTTTGCTCTCCTCAGACCGGCCACTTCCACCCAGGAATATCACAGTGTCTAACATCAGGGCGGAATCTTGCTACCTCCAGTGGGACGCACCACTGGATAATGGTGGCAGCGAACTTACCAACTACATTGTTGAGAGGAAGGACGTGGTGACAGAGGAGCCAGAGCTGGAAGAGGGACAGGAAGCTCCTCCGGAACCACAGTGGGTGGAGGTTACCAACAGCATCATTGAGAGGAAATACGGGGTATGTCCTCATAACAACAACAATAATGATAATGATAACAGGATTGTCATAGGCCTGTAAAACCCCTTATTTTACTCTAATGGTAACTCCACCTCCCCCTCCCTCAGGTGTGGAACCTGGAGACCAACAAGACCTACCTGTTCCGGGTCAGAGCCGAGAATCGCTACGGCAAATCTGACCCCTGCGCAACAGAAGAAGTCCAGATCACAGATCCATTCGGCCTTCCTGGCCCACCAGAGAAACCAACCATTGCACAATACTCTAAGACCTCCATGACCCTAACCTGGCAGCCACCCAGGGACAACGGCGGCTCTATGATTATCGGTTACTGGCTGGAGAAGAGGGAGAAAGGCACTGACTACTGGGCCAGAGTCAACAAAATGCCGGTTACCAAGAGGGGCATGAAAGGCTGGGAGTACCAGGTGAGCTGCTATGGGGTTGTTTCTGTGTTAGCACATAATTTATTTTTCAAATTGAATGTAAATTATTATAAGTGTTTACAGCTCTAAGTTCACTGATTAAAGAAACTTCTTTGTAGTGTAAGATCTGAAATTTGTGAACCTTCTACATAGAACCTCAGGGTATACCCAAGCAGAACTTTAGAAACGATGGTCCTTCGTAGATCTTTAGGCTTGTCTTGTAGAAACCTTTGGGAATGTCTTTTAGTAAATTCCGTTATAGCCTTTAAAAAGGGTATGTCAAACACCATGAAGAAGGTCCTTCGCGACCTTTAAAATGATCTCTCACAGACCCTTAGGATGATCCCTCACAGACCTTCAGAACAGAAGGTCACAGTCCTTTAGGAATCTCTTTTGAATACCCACATCTTTTTGTGTCTCTCAGGTGACTCGTCTGTTTGAAGGAACAGAGTATGAGTTCAGGGTTGCTGCCTGCAACTCTGCAGGAACTGGACCATTCAGTGGACCTTCCGACTCTGCCTTCGCTGTCGATCCAATCAGTGAGTAAAAAGCAACAGCCTTCTCCTGATAGTTCTACATAGTCCTATATAAGTCCTTCTTCTTCTGTATTTTGAAAGATGATAAATTAGATTTTTCTTGGACACTATTTTTACAAACTGCTGCTCTCCCCTCCAGCTCCTCCAAGCATGCCTGCTGCTCCTGAGGTGGCCGATAAGACAAAGCACAGTGTCACCCTGTCCTGGAAGCCACCAGAGAGGGACGGAGGAAGCCCCATCAAGGGCTACATCATCCAGATCCAGGATGAGGGCACATCAGAGTGGCTGAGTGTGAACGACCCAGAATCACCGCACCCCACCACTGAGTTCACTGTGCCCAACCTCCGTGCGCTGAAACGCCACCGCTTCAGGATCATTGCTGTGAACGATATCGGCGAGTCCGACCCCAGCCCCCGCACTAGCGAGGTTCTGATTGAAGACGTCCAGCGTATGTCCTACTTTGAAGTCTTTAAAGTAACTTTCATCATTGTCCGAAGGTATTTCTATCCTTTACTGATGTTTCCTCCAATGTTTCTTACTCGATAGTTGCACCTTCCATCAATATTGACGTAGTCGTAGATGATCTGCTGTGCATCCGTGCTGGAGATCCAATCAGGATCCCTGCCACCATTAAGGGCCGCCCTGCTCCCAAAGTAACCTGGGAATTTACTGGCAAAGCCAAGTCCCACAAGAAGAACAAACTGCACACGCTACCTGTGGATTCTGAGGTGAGACCCAACACAGCAACACAATGATTCCAGCAAAATCTCCTTTTCACTATACTTTTATGTGATAAAACAATGTGTTTGTGAAGCAATGTTTAGTAAAGGATTTCAACAAACAACCAATACAAAGAAAGAACATAATTACAACACTGCTGCTTTTGATTTTTAAATTATATGTTTAAAAGGATACTATCTTCTATACAGATCAGTTTCGATCATGTTGTATGGATTTTAGTCTTATTTTCTCATTTTCTTTTTTTGTGTATTCAGGTTGAGTCCACTGACACCACATCCATTGTGACAGTCCCTGTCAGTCTGAGGAGCCACTCTGGACGTTACACCATCACTGCCAAGAACAAATCCGGACAGAAACATGTCAATGTCAGAGTCAACGTCCTTGGTATGTCTATGTTGTTTGTATACAGACCTGGACCTTGCATACATCCCTAAATTGTTGTAATTCAAACCTGAGTAGTTTTTTCCCTAAATGAATAACAGTGGCTTATGTTGGTATGTTGGGGTCATTGTTTTGTTGCTTTTGGATCTTTTTGACTGTAATTCTTTCCTGGGTGCAGACGTCCCTGGAGCACCAAAGGAGCTGAGGGTTACTGACATCACCCGAGCGACAATGAGGCTTATCTGGAAACTCCCCGACACCGACGGAGGAGAGAGAATCAAGAGCTACTTTATTGAGAAGAAATGTATCACTGACAAGGCCTGGACAAAGGTAAACATTACTCCATTTCTCAATTTGTCTCAATTTGTTCATGTTATCCATCCACTAGGATGTGATAAGCCTAGCTTAGCACAAAGACTGAAAGCTAAGACAACTGCTAGCCTACCTTCATCAAAACCAAACACTTTACAACTTAAAATATCTGTGATCTATTAAAGGAAATATTGAGTATTTTTGTTATTTATTAACTTATGGATTGATTGATTTGTCATCAGGTGAATGCAGCCTGTGCCAGCCAAGCCTACGTGGTTCCAGGCCTGCTAGAAGGTCAGGACTACCTGTTCAGGGTCCGAGCTGAGAACAGACTTGGATTCGGCCCATTCACTGTCACCACTGAACCTGTCCGGGCCAGAGACCCCATCTGTAAGGACAGACCTACTATTCCAACTACATACATACAGCAAAAACTTTCAAAAACTCACTGGAATTGTCCTCATGCTAATCTTCCTCTGCCTCCTCCTCAGACCCACCCGACCCCCCCACCAAGGTGAAGGTCAACCTGGTGACAAAGAACACAGTCACATTGACCTGGGAGGCTCCCAAAAACAATGGTGGCTCTCCAGTGAAGCATTACATCATCGAGCGTTTGAGCTGGGACACCAGCGGCAAGGAGAAGGAGACCTGGAAGCAGTGCAACAAGAGAGAAGTGGAGGAACTCACCTTTGTGGTTGAGGACCTGAAGGAGGTCAGTCTTCAAAGGATCACCACCGCTCTCACTTTGTTACTTCCTGCCTTCATTAATAATAAATCATTAAGACATTATTGATTGTACTTACTGTCTTGCCGTTGATCTACAGGGAGGAGAATATGAGTTCAGAGTAAAAGCTGTGAACGCTGCTGGACCCAGCCGACCCTCCGCCACTGCTGGACCCCTGGTCATCAAGGATCAGACATGTGAGTGATAGGCTGCTCAAAAACCTGTTTCATCTTCTTCAGCTCAAACTGTACAAGCACAAGTTAGTATCGCAGTGGACAGAAATTGAATGTTTCCGATATACAAGTGGCTCATGAACATCTGGGACTGAGAGCTTCAGAAAGAATTTAAAACATATTAGCTATAAGCTGTTGGCCTTTGTTCATGCAGGTGCCCCCATCATTGAGCTTCGTGAGGCCATGGAGGGTGAGGAGGGCTGCGATGTCAGCATTGTGGCGAAGGTGAGCGGCTGTCCGTTCCCCACACTCACCTGGCAGAAAGCCAGCCTGGCCAAACCTGAGGAGAAGGCTGCCGTCCAGTATGACCAGCACATCAACAAACTGGTGACCCAGGACAAGTGCACGCTGCTAATCCAGCAGGCCAGCAGGAACGACAGTGCCCTCTACAGCCTGACGGCGAGCAACAGCCTGGGTACCGTCACCAAGGACATCAAGCTCTGCGTGCTAGGTGAGGAACACAAACACTTAACATGTTGTCATTTAAATAAGGTTTTATTGCTGGAATTATTAGTTTTTGTTAGCTCCTCCCTCAAAAAATGATTGTTCAATACATGGCACTGTAGTAAGACATGTTCACTGATACAGAAATGTGTTTTTCTGCTCTGCAATAGTTAACATTTCTGGGTAGCTAGCTTACCACCTACAAAAGTAATTGAACATTACTTATAGTAATTAGCCAAATAGCTAGTTATAGGTTTGTGAAAAAATAACCACATCCCACTCCTGGAGGATCCTCGCTGATTTTTATTGGATTTGAGGAAGTTTACACTCCAACATCTCCAGCTAACATTAGTCGATATTGTCACGTTTGTAACATTAAAAGCAAACCCCTAATAGTGTAGCATAAATCTAACCTCTGTCCTGCATATCCAGTTAAATTACATTATATTGCCAGAGACCAAAATGTTTATGCTTAATAATAAAACCAATGTGACTCACCCTCTCTCCCTCCCTCCCCCTGCAGGACCTCCCGGCCCTCCTGTCGCACCCCTCAAGTTCACTGAGGTGTTTGCGGACAGGATTGGCCTGGCCTGGAACCCTCCCACAGACGATGGTGGATCTAAGATCACCAACTACGTGGTTGAGAAGCGCGAGGATAACAGGAAGTCCTGGGTCCATGTCTCCAACGACCCCAAGGAATGCGCCTACGTGGTGAACCGCCTCACTGAGAACCACGAGTACGAGTTCAGAGTCATGGCCCAGAACAAGTTCGGAGTCGGGCCTCCGCTGGTCAGCGAGCCTGAGAAAGCCAGAAACCTCTTCAGTAAGTTTACTTGTCAGATTATAGATATTTTATTAGTTAGAAGTTATTATTAAGATTATTATTTGTTATTTTAAACAGTCAAAATAAAACAGATTATTGATGACTGTCCCGTCCTCTTGCAGCCGTCCCGGGTCAGTGTGAGAAACCAACCGTGACAGACGTCTGTCTGGAGTCGATGACCGTCAACTGGGACGAGCCCAAGTACGATGGAGGCTCCTCCATCACCGGCTACATCATCGAGAAGAAGGAGACCACCTCCAAGCGCTGGGCCCGCGTCAACCGCGACCCGATCCGAGCGCTGCCACTCGGCAACAACTGGGACGTCACCGGCCTGTTGGAAGTCGCTATGTACCAGTTCAGAGTCATCGCTGTCAACGCTGCAGGCTGTGGTCTGCCCAGCCTGCCCTCTGACCCTGTACTCTGCAGAGACCCAATAAGTGAGTGCAGCGCCGTTATTTCAGCTTTAATTTTATTATCAAAGATGCAGGTTCTTCAAGCTCAATAATGTACATGATCTTGTAACATGATCATGTAAATATCTCAAATTATGACTTCTAGAAGTCTGTTCTGATAATGTTGATAGAAAACTTACAGCATTTATCCGTGTGTGTGTGATCAGAGCCTCCTGGGCCACCCATCCCGAAGGTGACGGACTGGACGAAGTCGACAGTGGAGCTGGAGTGGATCCCTCCTGTGTTGGACGGAGGGTCAAAGGTCACAGGCTACATTGTGGAGTACAAGGAGGTGAACAAGGAGGAGGAGGAGAAGAAAGCTCAAAGGAGGCTGCTGCTGAGTGACGCTGATGAGGAGAAGGAGCCCGAGGCAGAGGACACATGGGAGAAGGTAAAAAAGCAAAACTGTAATAGCTCCAAACGTCTCATCCAGTTTTCTGTCACTCATTCCTTTACTGTGCAGAGTTTTCTCACCTTTTCTCAGCATTACAGTTAAGTAGCTATTCCATTTTTAGGGATCCCCCAAAAAATGAACAAATCAAACAAAAGCAAAAGCTCCTGAGTGTTGTTGATTATTTCTTCTCATCTCTCTCCAGGGGAAGGACACAGAGATCAGAGGAACCAAGTTCGTGGTGGCCGGTCTTAAGGAAGGCGGTCTGTACCGCTTCAGAGTCCTAGCTGTGAACGTTGCTGGAGTGGGAGAACCAGGATTCGTGGCTGAGCTGATCGAGGTCAAAGACAGAACAAGTAAGAATCTGAAAAGAAGTCTGGACCTAACACCAGGGGACACGGACAGAAATGATATATAGTTACCAAAAATGTACACAGTAAATACATTTAAGGTTTGGATAGATTTCTTATTTTGGTGTGGCAGTAATGTAATGCACTGGATCCATCAATTAATAACAATAACAGTAGAGAACAATTGATCTGTTGAGGCCAGATTCATGTGATTTTGCAAGAAGTAGGATCAAATTGATGATATAGTATTGATTTCTTTTGCTAGAAGAGTAAGAATAAAATACATACACTGTAATAAAACAATACATTTTAATATGAAAAGGTAAAATCAGAAACAATATATTGGGAAGTAAAAGCACAAATATCCATATTCCAAAAAGAACAAGACTAAAATAAATTATATAAATCTTCTGGAGCCAGTTAACAAAATGAGTTACATCAATGTTATGTCACCTCCTTCTCCTCCAGTTCCTCCTGAGATGGATCTGGATGCCTCCGTGAAGGAGAAGATCGTGGTCCACGCCGGTGGCACCATCCGCATCATTGCTTACGTGTCCGGCAAACCCGTGCCACAGATCAACTGGTGCCGCGACGACGCTGACGTGCCCAAAGAAGCTGTGGTAGAGAAAACGGGCATCTCCAATTCACTGATCATCAAGAACTGCAGGCGCCAACACCAGGGCATCTACACCCTGAGCGCCAAGAACGAGGGAGGAGAGAGGAAAAAGGCCGTCATTGTTGAGGTCCTGGGTGAGTCTTTAATAGTAAATAAAACGAGTAATCTGGTAAACGAAAAGGAGTAAATGGTTTACAGATGATTATTTTGTTGTGGTAATAATTTCAAATAACATTTGTATACAATGGAAAAATTGGCTGGATTTTAAGAAATGAACACGGAATTTAAGTCAAACAAAAGATATAATCTTCTGGAATCGTTTAATTAACTCAAATGACAATAAAAGTAGAAAGTAGAAGTTTGAAGAGTTAAGAGAGTGTCTGGAATTAACTTTCTTTAACTAATAGTAGATAAGTAATGATGCTAGAAGCCACATACAATTGATCAGATTAAATTGTAATATTATATGAGGTTAAGTTATAAATTATAGCTTATACATAAGATTACCAGGAGATGGCACCACAGTAACACCACATCTTAACAAGTAACTTCAATCTGTTTTCCTATGTATAAATGATTGCACCAAGCTGCTTTACTTGACATGCAACTTCCCTCTGAGGTATAGATGAATGTATTCAAACTGTCTAACCAGTCTCTGACTTTCTGTCCAATTCCTCCTCCCTCCAGACGTCCCCGGACCAGTCGGCCTTCCTTTCGCTGGCGAGAATCTGACCAACGACTCCTGTAAGCTGACCTGGTACTCCCCTGAGGATGACGGTGGCTCTGCCATCACCAACTACATCATCGAGAAGAGGGAGTCAGACCGCATGGGCTGGACGTCAGTGTCCTACACTGTGACAAGGAACAACGCCGTGGTGCAGGGACTCATCGACGGCAAGGGCTACTTCTTCAGGATTGCAGCCGAGAACATCATCGGAATGGGACCTTTCATCGAGACTGACAAAATGGTTCTCATCAAGGACCCCATCTGTAAGTCATACACACACTATATTAATATACAGTCAGTGAAAATGTCTGTACAGAATCCTTAAAATAATTATCTTAAATTTGAATATCAGATCATTTCTATAGAATTATTTGAAATCGGATCTGTAAAATAATGATTTATCAGAGTATTTGTTTCACGTTATTTTATAAGTCTTCTTACTACAAGGAACTTTTTTTACATTTTATTTTATTGAAGCCAATACAGCCTCGACAGTAGTTGAATAAAAGAAAATAGCTAAAAAGAGCTTGTGTCTCCTGCAGCTGTTCCGGAGCGTCCAGAGGACTTGATTATTACTGCCGTTACCAAGGACTCCATCTCCGTCACCTGGAGACCACCCAAGTACGACGGCGGCGCTGAGGTGACCGAGTACGTCCTCGAGTCCCGCATGATCGGCCGGGACACCTTTGTACGAGTAGGTGCAGAGGACAAGCTGATGGACAGGAAGTTCACACTGACAGGGCTGAAGGACGGCTCGAGCCATGAGTTCAGAGTCTCTGCCATCAACCAGGTGGGACAGGGCAAACCGTCCTTCGCCACCAAACCTGTCCAATGCAAGGACGAGCTCGGTGAGTGACACAACATGACAACAATATAATTTATTTTAATAAAAAGATGAAACCCGTTTTACTGAACCAACATACTGTGTTTTACCCATGCAGTCAATGGAAAATGAAGATTAGCTTTCTCTTAGCTTTATGATGTTAGCTAATGTTAGCAAAATGATAGCAAACTAGCTAATTAGTAATCATTAGCTAGCAATTACATCTGATAGCTAATAGCAAAATTGGACGTAATTGGCTAGCTAACAATTTATGTTGATTGACTCTCTAACATTAGCTAACTTAAGATGTGACTATATACAGTATATGTCTCTTTTATCTTTGAACCATCTTCAAAATGTGGTTGTCTTTTTTTAACATAGATTAGTTTATCTTAGGTTATCGACTGAAATTCTGAACAATAACACTAGTGAGTCATCACTTATATATCATGCATCAAAAACATCACATATGCATAATAAAACAGGAGTAATGTATAAAATTTCAAATTGTTGTCGACCCTCAGAACCACCTACTCTGGACCTGGACTTCAGGGACAAGATGATGGTGAAGGTAGGAGACAGCTGCACACTGTCGGGACGCTACACTGGAAAACCGACCCCGGCTATCACCTGGACAAAGAATGATGAGGAGCTGAAGGCGGATGAGGAGATCGGCCTCCACAGCACCGGCCACCACCTCAGCCTCAACATCAGCAAGGCCAAGAGAGAGCACAGCGGCCGCTACTGCGTCAGCGTGGAGAACGCCGCCGGACCTCGCACAGGAATCTGCACCATCACCGTGGTCGGTGAGTTGCTGCTCCACTCAAGCTCACAGCAACGGACTTCTCATGGATGTTTTAATGTCATCACTGAAGGATTTCGTATGTACAACAAGATATATTGAGCACTTCAGCACCTAAAAGCTGAAAGGAATGTCATTGACAAATCTGCAGCAATATTTCTTTCAATCCTCAGATTATAAAGCAAGATATGAGGGATAACATAGTTGGGAAATAAAAACTCAAGAGGGAAAGAAATTAACTGGTTTCCATATGACTTGAAATTCAAAATTCAATTGATGGACAGAAAGCGATATCATTACCGTACTCCAATATCCAGATCCAGATTTTAAAACCAAATGAAAATCAAAGTCTAAAAACATAGAAAGTCACTTGTATGAATGCTTCCTCCTGTCAGACCGTCCTCAGCCTCCGGAGGGCCCTGTGGTCTTCAACGAGGTCTACAGGAACTACATGGTGATCTCCTGGAACCCTCCTCTGGATGACGGAGGCTGCGCTGTCTCCAACTACATCATCGAGAAAAGAGACACCAACAGAGACCTGTGGATGCCCGTCACCTCGTCCTGCACCAGGACCTCTTGCAAGGTGGGCAGATCAGCAATGAAATGCTCAGAGGAAAAGATTAACTCGAGAAAATGTGGGCAATTTGTTGGGTGGACAGAGGTAAACTATTTAATTCACCAAAACTTTTGAAGGTTTCCCCAGCAAGAAAGGAGACTTAGGCAACCAACAACTGGCAAACAGACTCAATAACAATACATATATGTACAGATCATGTTCCAGATGCTGGTTATTTGTAAGTATACAAATTGGTAAAATCCAGTGGACATTGGATTGATTTTATATAATGCATCAATACTAGTGATGTTACAATACATTACGGTGTCAGGGTTTCAATATTGATATTAAACCCTTTTTTTCATTTAACAAAAGAGTTCAATATTCACAGATGTTACAAAGGTACAAGAAACTGTACAAGAATTTAAAGACAACTTTAAAGTTAATTTTAAACTAAAATAAGGAACTATCTGATCTATTTCTGGACCAGACAGTCGACAATATTAGAAAGTTGTGATTTAGATCTTTTATTTCCGATTGTTTTGATACTCAGTTCTATGGACACATTTTAATTTCCACCGAAAGAGTATTGAGAGAGAGAAACTCTTCAGTAACTCCTCAGTGCTGATGTTTGCCTTCTGATGTCTGTTTCTTCAGGTGCCAAAGCTGATCGAGGGTCGTGAATACATCATCAGGATCATGGCTCAGAACATCTACGGCATTAGCGACCCCTTGCTGTCTGCAGAGACCAAGGCTAGAGACGTCTTCAGTAAGTCCTTACAAACACACTGAGACATAAACTGCCAAAGAGTCCATTCTGAAAGAGTTTTAACCAACAGCAGCAGGTAGTAAAGATGACAAGCAAGTTGTCTGACAAATGCAACTGTTTGGTTTCTATTACAGAGGTGCCCGACGCTCCTAAACAGCCCACAGTGAAGGAAGTTTACCACGACTCCGCCCTCATCAGCTGGGAGCCTCCTGCCGACGGAGGAAAACCAATCACAGGCTACATTGTGGAGAGGAAGGAGACCATGGCCAACAGGTACACAAACACACACACAGCACTAGAAACCTGTAGTTTGAAGGGTCAGGGTCATGCTTTAGAGGTTTTCCAAGCACATGCAACTGGGAGGAGATCCCGGGGTAGACACAGAATTCGCTGCAGGGATTATATATCTCATCTTGCCTGGGAACACCGGGAGGGACTGGAGAGAGGGAATACCCTGCTTAACCTGCCGTCACTTCAACCCGATTTAGTGAAAGAACATGGACTGATGGATGAATAGATAATAGATTTGCTGAGAATGTTTCTGCTTTCAGGTGGGTTCGCTGCAACACAGAGAGAATCTTTCCGAAGGTGGAGTACTGGGTAACAGAGCTGCTGCAAGGTTGTGAGTACGAGTTCAGAGTCAGCGCTGAGAACGTGGTGGGAGCCGGAGACCCGAGCCCGCCATCCAAACCCGTCTTCGCCAAAGATCCCATTGGTAAGTTCAGCTTTTACAACATTTCATTTTTATTTTATTGCTATTATTGTGTGAACTCACTACAAGAATTCCTCCCTCTCCTTTGCCACAGTGAAACCCAGTCCACCAGTGAAGTTCGGAACCATCGACTTTACCAAGGAATCTGTGACTCTGTCCTGGCAGCCTCCCACTGACACTGGCAGAGGAAAGATCTTAGGATATCTACTGGAGTTCCAGAAGGCTGGAGAGGAGGAGTGGAGCAAGGTGAGGCAGTTGTTCAGTTAACATTACATCTGCTGCCCAGAGAACCCCATGACCTTAACACTTAACTCAAATCTTCCTAATCTCTCTAAATCTTAAGTGAAATGTGATATGGCACTCTTGTCCTGCTGCTGTCCCCAGGTGAACCAGACTCCTGACTCCTGCCAAGAGACCAAATTTAAAGTGATCAACCTGGATGATGGTTCTCTGTACCGCTTCAGAGTCATGGCTGTCAATGCTGCTGGAGAGTCCGACCCGGCTAACCTTAAGGAGCCGATCAGAGTGATGGACAGACTTGGTGAGTCATCAGAACCAGCTGGAACTCTGATTTTAAGAAGTACTCCTTACATCAGATTTGTTAATGATCAGCAATTCCCACTAATTCACCTGTTAATGTCTCTCATGTTCTTCTACACCCTTGTCCCCCCCTCAGAGCCCCCAGAGCTGATTCTGGATGCTGGAATGACCCGGGAGGTGAAGGCCATGGCTGGCACTCACATCACACTGATGGCCACCATCAATGGTGTTCCATTCCCCACCGTCACCTGGAAGAAGAATGACGCCGATGTACCCACAAGGGCAGACATTGAGACAAACCAGGCAGGCACCAAGCTGGAGATGAGGTTCTGTAACCGTGGTGACTGTGGAGACTACACCCTCACTGTGGAGAACCCTGCTGGATCCAAGACTGCCACCTGCACCGTTCTGGTCTTTGGTAAGAATTTTTAGCTTGAATACATGAGCGTGATTCACTATCACAATAATACTATATTTGTGTTGATCAGTTGCTCCGTGATTGATATGTGACGTTCCTTTTCTGCAGACAAACCTGGTCCCATCCAGCACCTCCGGGTGTCTGACATCAGGAGTGACTCTGCTTACCTGTCCTGGAAGGACCCAGAGGACAACGGTGGTGCTCGCATCACAAACTTTGTGGTAGAGAAGAAAGACACTGCATCCACTCAGTGGGTCCCTGTCTGCTCCACATCCAAGAAACGCAGCATGATGCTGAAGCACCTGATGGAGGGCACATCCTACTCATTTAGAGTTGCTGCTGAGAACCAGTACGGCCGCAGCGAATACATTGAGACGCCAAAGGCCATCAAAGCAATGAACCCACTCTGTGAGTAACAACACAGCAATCACTTAATCAGCCGATTACGTTGTACTGAGAATTAGATGTCAGTGTTTTAACACATAGAAAACAAATACAAATAAAATTCTCACAGGATAAACCTCTGTTTTTCCAAGAGGTTGCAACAATAGAACAAAATGGATGTTTCAGCAAACATAATTGGGTTTGCCATATAGGAAAAAGTATTTTCAGATTTTTATGGCATTTTTATGGCATTTTCAATGCACTTTGCTTCTTAAAAGCATTTGTCACCCAACAAAAGCAATACAACAAATGTATTACGCATCAATCGCATTAGGTGGCAGGGTGGTGGAAGTGACAGGTGGAGTCTGTGTATGTCTATGTTGTTCATGCTCAATCTCTCCAGTTCATACCTAAATGTCTTTTCCTCTGTCCCTTCAGTCCCTCCTGGTCCTCCCAAAGACCTGCACCACAGCGACGTGGACAAGACTGAGGTGTGGTTGGTCTGGAACTGGCCAGATCGCAATGGAGGAAGTGAGATCACAGGATTCCTGGTGGAGTATCAGGAAGAGGGAGAGAGGGAGTGGGACGAATGGAAGACTGTCAGCATCCCTGAGAGTCATGTGACTGGCCTGGAGGAAGGAAAGACATACCGCTTCAGAGTGAAGGCTGAGAATGCCATTGGCCTCAGCAGACCTGACACCACTGTGCCTATCCTCTGCCAGGAAAAACTGGGTGAGATACAGGGTGACACCCCAGAACATAATTTTCCACTTTTTCATTCTCAATTGAAAATCACCAATCCTTTCTGTACCATCAACGTTGGTGCAGATGTAGCTCTTGTTATAGTCCATATTAGCAAAATAATGTGCCTTGAATTGCTATTTGGTACCAGCCAAATCACTTAACGTTGGTGATAAATTATTATATTATATTATTTCATTTTATTTGAACATGATGCGTGTAATTGCACTGGGTAACCTCCTCTGTCTGCATGTCCACAGTGCCTCCAATTGTTGAGGTGGACGTTAAGCTGATTGAAGGCATCATCGTAAAGGCTGGCACCACCATCAGGCTGCCAGCTATCATGAGAGGAATCCCTGTTCCCACTGCCAAATGGACCATTGAAGGAGAGGAGATCACCAGCGAGGGCAACATCAAGATCGACACTGACAACTTCTCCACTGTGCTGAGCATTAATGAGTGCACCAGGAATCACTCTGGAACCTACCTGCTCACTGTGTCCAACCCAGCTGGAACCAAGACAGTTGCCTTGAACGTCACTGTCTTGGACGTTCCCGCTGCTCCCATAGGACCTGCCAACATCCTGGAGGTCACTCCAGATTCCATGGTGATTGAATGGCGTCCTCCCAAGGACGATGGTGGTAGCCCTGTCACCAACTACATTGTGGAGAAGAGAGAGTCAAGCAAGGAGACCTGGGGAGGTGTGAGCTCTGGGAGCCTTGCCACCCAGCTCAATATCACCCGCCTGCAGAAGGGAGTGGAATATGTGGTTCGCATTCGTGCTGCGAATAAAATGGGCATTGGCGCTCCACTGGAGAGCAAGCCCACCGTTGCTGAGCACTCTTTCATGCCACCCAGCCAGCCTGGTAAGCCACAGACCTCTGATATTGCAGAGGATGCTGTTACAGTTGGCTGGACCATGCCCCTCTCTGATGGTGGTAGCCAGATATCCGGCTACATCATTGAGCGCAGACACAAAGGAGGAAAATGGATCCGTGTCAACAAGACACCCTGCAAGGACCTGAGGTACAGAGTCTTGGGTCTGTTTGAGGGCAATGAGTACGAGTTCAGAGTGTTTGCTGAGAATATTGCCGGTTACAGCGGCCCCTCTCCCATCTCTGACCCCTGCAAGCCCTGCAGGCCCATCACCATCCCCGGCCCCCCTGTCAACCCCAAAGTTAAAGATTACAGCAAGACCACCGCTGACCTTGTGTGGACCAAACCCAACAAAGATGGAGGCAGCCCCATCCTGGGCTACAACGTGGAAATGAAGAAAGCCGATACTGAAGAATGGAAAAAAGTTAACCTCGATGACTTCATCAAGCAGTGTGCCTACAGGGTGAAGGGTCTGGAGGAGGGCGTGACCTACAGATTCAGAGTTTATGCCACAAACATGATCGGAGATGGAGAGATCAGAGAAATCCCAGAGTCCATCACTGCTCAGGATATCCTTATCCCTCCAGAGATTGAGATGGACGCCACCTGCCGCGAGCGCGTCACTGTGCGTGTGGGACACAACATCAACATCATTGGCTACATCAAAGCCCGTCCTGACCCTGAAGTGCTTTGGTCAAAGGAAGAGATGGTTCTGGAGAACAGCAAACGTGTCACCATCATTCAGAACTTCCCTGTGGTCCACCTGAAGATCAAGGAGGCAACAAGAGCTGACCATGGCAAATACATCCTAAAGGCTTCAAATGAGGGTGGTGAGGCCTCCTGCACCATTACAGTCAATGTGCTAGACAGACCTAGCCACTGCCAGAATCTACACGTGACCTATGCCACCAAGGACTCATGCATGATCAACTGGGAGGCCCCTAAGGACAATGGTGGATCAGAGATCACCAACTACATTGTGGAGTGCCGTGAGCCCAGCATTAGTATGTGGTCCATGATCTCCTCCAGCTGCACCAATCGCAAGATCAAGGCTAAGCTGATGGAAGGTCATGAGTACCGGTTCCGTGTCTGTGCTGAGAACAAGATGGGACCAGGACCATCTGTGGAGACCAAGGTCCCTCTGCTGGCCATCGACTGCATCGAGAAACCGGGTGAGCCTGAGAACTTCAGAGCCACTGACATTGGTAAGAACCACGTCTATCTGAGATGGAGGAAGCCTGACTACGATGGTGGCAGCCCCAACATCTCCTACAACCTGGAATGCAAAGCCAAAGATGCTGAGGAGTGGGAGAAACTCAACACTGCCACTCTCACTGACACCTTTTTCCTGGCTGACAAATGCACAGAGAACCAGACATACACCTTCAGGTAGGTTACTGAATTTGTACTGTGTTTCCTTGCTCAGAAATTATTCGAGTCTGCCCAATCAAAAAACATTCAAGTAATAATTCTAATAATTTGTTATCCAGGGTGCAGACTGTTAATGAAGGCGGTGAGAGTGCTTGGGTGAAACTTGCTGATATTCTGGTAAAGGAGGAGATCCAGAAGCCTGTAATTGACCTGAAGTTGGCCGGAGTTTTGACAGTGAAGGCCGGAGAATCTGTTAGGATAGAGGCTGCACTGAGAGGAAAGCCCCAGCCTGAGGTTAAATGGATAAAAGATAAAGGTGTCGGAGACAACCCCAGATTAAGCTATGAGACTGGCCCTGACTACTCCAAGTTCCTCCTGACCAAGTCCAGACGCACTGACACTGGAAAGTATGTCATCACTGCCACTAACCCAGCCGGGACCTTCACAGCATATGCCAACGTTAACGTCCTGGATGTCCCTGGCCCGGTGAGGAACCTCAGGATTACCGGCATCGGAGCCGACAAGTGCAGAGTGATTTGGGATGCTCCTGAGGATGATGGTGGTTGCGAGGTGGACAGCTACATCCTGGAGAAATGCGAGACCAGGAGGATGGTCTGGTCGACATATTCAGGCTCTGTGGTCACACCATATTGCAACGTCACTCGTCTGGTGGAAAGCAACGAGTACATCTTCAGAGTGAGGGCTGAGAACAAGATGGGAACCGGCCCCGCTATGGAGAGCAAACCTGTTACTGTCAAGACTCAGTTCAACAAACCTGGACCACCTGAGGCCCCTGAGGTCACTAAGGTAAGTGAAAGATTATCTGTTTTATAGATTGTCCTGGAATTACCTCACAAAGAGCTTTTCAACCTAGTATCAGTGTACATTGTAGTTGTAAAAAGTTTCTCTGTTACTCACACTGTTAATATTGTTGTGATCTAGGTGAGCAAAGATGAGATGACAGTTGTCTGGGCTCCTCCTGAGAATGATGGTGGAAAATCGATCACCGGCTACATCCTGGAGAGGAAAGAGAAGAGGGCAGTGCGCTGGGTGCCATGCACAAAGAGCCCCATCTCCGAGAGACGCATGAAAGTCAGCAACCTGATTCCCAACCATGAGTACCAGTTCAGGGTGAAGGCTGAGAATGAGGTCGGCCTAGGAGAGCCTAGCAAACCCTGCAGACCTGTTGCAGCCAAAGATCCCATTGGTGAGTTTGCAGTTACTGCCATAGTTCAGTTTACGTCTTCAACATTTTTTTGTTCTCAGATTAGAAATCAATAGGAAGCATAAGATGTCAGAGATGGCCTTTGGTGTTTTAAACTTAGTTTTACTGTCTCTACCTGCAGAGCCCCCTGGCCCCCCTGCAGGCTTGAAGGTGGGTGACAGCACCAAGACCTCTATCACCCTGTCCTGGTCTAAACCTGTGTATGATGGCGGTGCCCCCATTATCGGCTACAGCCTGGACATGAGACTGAAGAGCGAGGCAGACCCTGAGAAGCCCACAGAGGGCTGGAAGAGAATTGACACCCATGGTCCACTGGTGCTCACAGAGTTCACCATTGGCCAGCTGGATGAGAAGCAGGAGTATGACTTTAAGGTGTCTGCCAAAAACCAGGTGGGCTGGGGACGTCATGCCTACTTGAAGGAGGCCGTCTCCCCCAAGGAGGTTCTGGGTAAGAATGAACGGCTACTAAAGACAACCGTGGATATGCCTTAATAAATCCATTATATACACATACACTAGGTAAATGTTAACAACACTCTAATGATCTCAACATAAATGTGTTTCTATGGCAACAGAGGCTCCAGAGATTGATCTGGATGCCAGTCTGAGGAAAGGCCTGGCTGTCAGGGCCGGCTGTCCAATCAGGCTTTTCGCTGTGATCAGAGGAAGGCCCTCCCCCAAGGTTACCTGGAAGCGTCTTGGCGTGGACAATGTGATCCGCCGAGGTCATGTGGACCAGGTTGACACCATGTCCTTCCTGGTCATCCCTGAAAGCACCAGAGAGGATTCTGGGAGATACTCACTGACACTGTCGAACTCGGCTGGAGAGAAAGCCGTGTTTGTCCGTGTCAAAGTCCTTGGTGAGAAACAACAAACGTAATGTTTTACAGCAGTTGCTTTTAACAAAATTACAACAAATTTTACTGGTTAGGAAACTGTATGATCAAAGTGATTTTTAAATTCATCCTCTGCAGATACTCCTGGTCCTGTTGGCGGCCTGGAGGCGACAGATGTCACCAAGACAACAGCTCAGCTGTCCTGGTTGCCACCGGAGAATGACGGTGGTAGTCCCATCCTCAACTACATTGTAGAGAAACGTGAGGTGGATAGAAAGACCTGGAACAAGTGCATAGAGGACCTGAAGAAGACTAGCTTCAAGGTGACCAACATGGCGCCTGGCATCGAGTACTACTTCAGAGTCATGGCCTGCAACAAGTATGGCATTGGAGTTCCTCAGGATTCGCCAAAGTCCTACTTGGCTGTTGACCCCTGCAGTGAGTGTCACCATAGACTGTGTGAAAAAGGTTTAGCCTGTCAACCTTTGTTGTTTTTTCCATTTTCAAATTCTTCCTAACACCTGCTGTGTGTTGCATTCAGGTGAGCCAGACCCTCCAAAGAAGATGGAAGTGTTGGAGATCACCAAGAACAGCGCCACACTGGGTTGGCTAAAGCCACTCAGAGATGGAGGAGCCAAGATCAATGGGTATGTGGTGGACTACCAGGAGGAGGGTACGCCCGAGGACAAGTGGACACCTTACTCTGTGGTCAAAGACATGACCATCGTGGTGGTTGGTCTGAAGGAAGGAAAGAAGTACAAGTTCAGAGTGGCAGCCAGGAACTCAGTGGGAGTCAGCTTGGCTCGAGAGGCGGAGGGAGTGTTTGAGGTCAAGGAGCAGCTCAGTAAGTAGACCAGCCTAAAAATCTACTTCAGACTATAGTGACAGAGTGGTAGAGACTCTTTTAATTAAAATAATAATTTAACAAAATTATTCCTTGATGAAAAAGGAAAAAGTTTAAATCTTTGTTTAAAGTTTTAATCTCTGAAGTAACATGTTGTGTTTCTGCTTCCTCCCAGTGGCTCCTAAGGTCATTTTGCCTGACATTGTGACAGTCAGAGCTGGATCCAAGATGGTGGTTGAGGCCATTGTGGCAGGTAAACCTGCTCCCTTCTGCAAGTGGAAGCAGGGAAGCGAGGATGTGCTGACCTCTGATCGCCTGTCCGTCGTTAAGACACTGACCACCTGCACGCTTATCATTAAGAACGTGAGAAGAAAGGACAGCGGCTACTACAGCCTGTCAGCTGAGAACAGCACTGGCAAGATCAACCAGATCCTCAGAGTCACTGTCATGGGTCAGTTTGAACAACAGACACTGGTTCTAAACTGAAAAGATACAGATGATACTTAAAATGTAAACAATAAATAACAGATCATTGATTAGGTGTGTGATTAACATCATTAATGACTCATCCTCTGTGTTTCTGCAGACCTTCCTGGACCCCCTGAAGCTCCTCTGGAGATCACTGAAACCGACATAGATGCCTGCACCCTACTCTGGAACTCCCCACAGGAGGATGGTGGCAGCAACATCACCAACTATATTGTGGAGAAGTGTGACGTCAGCCAGGGCGACTGGGTCCCTGTGTCCACTTCCTGCACCAAAACCAGCTTTAGAGTGACCAAATTGACAACTGGTAAAGAGTATGGATTCCGGGTCCGTGCCGAGAACAGGTTCGGTGTCTCAGAGCCCATCTACTCAGAGAAGATGATTGCCAGATATCCATTTGGTGAGTCAAAATATTTTTAGCTTCATTACTGGTTACCACTATTACAACTATGACACTATATACCAACTGTTTTGCTTTCCCCCAAAGATCCTCCAAGCGAGCCCAAAAACCTACAGATCAACAAGATCAACAAGGACTTCGTCATCTTGTCATGGGAGCGTCCCAGCAGCGACGGCGGCACCCCAATCACTGGATACTGCATTGAAAAGAAGGAAAGGAACAGCCTTCTGTGGATGAAGGCTAACGAGTCTGTGGTCAAAGCCACCCAGTACACCTGCACCAGCCTGATGGAGGGCCTGGAGTACAGCTTTAGGGTGTCGGCACTCAACCTGGCTGGACAGGGCAAACCTTGCAAGCAGACCGACTTCATCACCGCCAGGACTGCTGTTGGTACGAAAATGTCCTTGACTGCTGATCATGACAAATACTGCAATATAGTGTCAACGCTACATTAGCTATGTTTGCAAACAGTTGCTAAAGAGATTCAGCTCTTCTGCTACTATAGCTAACATAACAACAACAGCATATCTTGGCAAAATAGAAAGTAAACTGAATGCCCATGGGCAACGCATTTAATGTTACCTGACACACAAATCCTGGCTGGAATGGCTAGAATAATTGTTAGTATCACATTATTTTTTACCCATTTAAAGAGGCAAGGCTGTGTACAAACACTACATTCTTTTTCGGCACACAGTGCAGAAAGCTAGCAGACTGTAAGGAGATATGCGATGAATTTGAAACTGTATTGGATTAGAATCGCAATACCAAGACTCACTTTAAGAAAAATAGGAAATAGGAAAACAAAATTACAAATTACACTTATCACAAAAAAAAGTTTCCTGAAGGTCCAGTTTGTAACATAAAGGAGGATCTATATATTAATATTCATGACTATGATTTCATTAGTGCATAACCACCTGCAAATATGAATTGTTATATTTTGTTAACTTAGATTGAGCCCTTAGAGCAAGCGAGTCGCCTTCTGTGTAGTCCGCCATGTTTCCTAAAGTATCCCAGAAGGGACAAACCAAACACTGGCTTTAGATATGGGCATTTTTCACATGTCGCGGCCACTGTTCTTCTTCATGCTTGGAAGGGGTGGGTAGAGTGAGGTTGTTGAAATCTGCAACAAAACCACTTGATACCACTAAATCTTACACACCTTTATATAAAAACATACTAACTGATTTTTATGTTTTCTATTAAATTTTTATCCTTAAGTATAGTTATAATTTCTTATCTTGGGATAATGAAGTTTCTTTCAAATAGAAAAAGTCACACCCTTTTTTACTTAACCCTTTCCCTTGTTCAGACAGTATCATGTAACTGAATCTACACCCCTTTGCTTCCATCCAGACCCACCAGGTAAACCTGAACCCATGGATGTGAACAAGAGCTCTGTGTCATTGGTCTGGAGCCGTCCCATGCATGATGGTGGTAGCAAGCTGATTGGCTACCACATGGAGTACACAAAGCTTCCAGAGGAGAAGTGGATACGCTGCAACGCCAACTGCATGAGCATACAGACGGAGAGTTATGTGGTGACCGGCCTGGAGGAGGGCCGACAGTACCAGTTTAGAGTGATTGCTAAGACCGCCATAAACATCAGCCTGCCGTCCGAGCTGTCCGACCCCATCGCTGTCATTGCAGAAAATGGTACAGCTCCACACAGCCAGGAAAAACTATACTGACAAATTAAATTACAGATAAATATTGATGATAATTCTCTCTCTATTCAGTTCCCCCTCGTGTTGACCTGGGCCTCAACATGAAGAACCTGATCGTGGTAAAAGCCGGAGAGAATGTCTTCCTGGATGCTGAGGTGTTCGGCAAGCCACTGCCAAAGGTGAGCTGGAAGAGAGACGGAGCGCCTCTCGTCATTCGCGAGGGAATGAAGATGATCCAGAAGAAACATGTCCACCTGCTGGAGCTCTACTCTGTCACCAGGAAGGAGTCTGGAGACTACACTATCACCGCTGAGAATCTCAGTGGCAGCAAGTATGCTACCATCAAGGTCAAGGTGCTCGGTAAGTTAGATTTAATATTATTTTTTTGTTGTGTTTTCTCTATGCAAGCATTTTATGTGTACCGATAAGAGGGAAGCTAAACTCCCACTGTTTTCCCCTACAGACAAACCCGGACCTCCAGCCTCTGTGAAAATTGGTAAGGTGTTTTCTGACCATGTTAAGTTGCGATGGGAACCCCCAATAGCGGACGGTGGCTCTGAGATCACAAACTACATCATAGAGAAGCGTGAGACCAGCAGGGCCAACTGGGCGCTGGTCACCTCCAACATCCATGGACACGTCACCGACTGCTCAGTGGAGAAACTCATTGAAGGACATGAGTATGAGTTCAGAGTCAGTGCTGAGAACCAGTATGGTGTGGGAGACCCTATCATGACTAACTCTGTCATGGTCAAGAACCCATACGGTAAGTTCACTGAGGTCTAAAGAGTACAGTACAGTAAAAAAAGGGACAAAAACCTGTGGTCTTGCTGACTATTTAAACTTCCTCAGTATGTCTCTGGGGATACGATATTAACAAGACAGCACAGTTTGAATGTTGATGAAATAATGAAAATTCAAACACTGATGGGAGATTATTGTGGCTATATCTCTTCCTTCAGATGTTCCTGGTCCATGCGAGCCGCCCGTAATCACCAACATTACTAAGAACTCTATGACAGTGAGCTGGAAGGCCCCAGCCAACGACGGCAAGGCCACCATCCTGGGATACATGTTGGAGAAACGTGAGGCCACCGAGCTGACCTGGGCTAAGGTCAACCGCCGACCAGTTATTGATAGAACCCTTAAAGCCGCTCAGCTGTCCGAGGGCTCTGAGTATGAGTTCAGAGTCATCGCCATGAACAAAGCCGGTCTGGGCAAACCCAGCGACGCATCCAGTGCTGCACTGGCTGTTGACCCTGTCTGTAAGTATCAGCTTTAAAACTCACATTTAAAACATTTGACAAAAACAAGCTTCAAACTGTTGTTTATGTAAAAATAATGACAAATGTGTCACTGTTATTCTCCAGATCCTCCTGGACCTCCTGCCTTCCCCAAGGTGGTGGACTCCACCAAAAGCTCCATTAGCCTCAGCTGGACCAAACCGGCCTATGATGGTGGCTGTGAGATCATTGGCTACCTGGTGGAGTGTAAGCGAGCCGAAGCCGAGGACTGGAACAAATGCAACGTCCCAAAGAAGCTCCAGAATACCAAATTCCTAATGACAGGCCTGATGGACAACACTGAGTACCAGTTCAGAGTAACTGCTGTCAACAAGATTGGCTACAGCGAGCCCAGCGAGGTCCCTGGAAACCACATGGCCAAGGACATCCTAAGTACGCTCCAAGTGTTCATTTACTGTTTATTATACCACTTAATTTTAATAAATAACCCCTAGTATTATCGCTAACTCACCAAGTATTTTCCCCTTCATATCACTGAATGATTTATTTTCAGTACAGATGTAATGCTTTAGTAAAAATGACCACTTCATTAATGAATCATTATTAATCCTAGTTGTGATGATCAGTTTAATCTTACATTTTAATTTTAAAACATGTTTCAGTGAATTATTTATTAAATAACATCTATTCTCAATAATGACTAATTTAACTAATTTATGGGCCAGCTAACTAACGCAGCCTTGCTCTCAACCAAAACTAATAAGTTGGTTATAGTAATCAATTACGTATTTAAAACGCAATCTTCTGTCCACCCTCCAGTCGCTCCTGAAGCTGAGCTGGATGCTGACCTAAGAAAGGCTTTGGTTCTTCGTGCTGGCGTTACCATGAGGCTCTACGTCCCACTGAGAGGACGTCCGGCACCAAAGGTGACATGGACAAAGGTAGACGCCAACCTGAAGGAGAGGCAGGGTCTGCTGATCAAGACGTCCGAGTGGGACACCCTACTGATGGCCGAGGACATTAACAGATATGACGCTGGCAAATACGTCCTGACGCTGGAGAACAGCAGCGGCTCCAAGAGCTACACCATTGTGGTCAAGGTCCTTGGTAAGAAACATAATGAGAAAAATTCAATTAAATGATTTATGAAGACATGACATAGTTTAGAAAAAAATTGCTGAATCTGAAAACCTTAAACATGTTCACCCACGAGAAACAGACAAAAAAAATCTTCCTCAAAATAATGACATTTTTACTTCCATTATATGCATCAACGACCTGATTTATATCTCAGTTCAAAAGCTCTAAGCCAGAGATACTGCTTCTCCCCCTCAGATTCTCCTGGACCGCCTGTGAACCTAATTGTCAAGGAGACCTCCAAAAGCCACGCCTGCATCACCTGGGAGCCCCCACTGATTGACGGTGGCAGTCCAGTAAAGAGCTATGTCATAGAGAAACGTCTGGCCGAAAGAAAAGCCTGGACCTGTGTATCGGCAGAGTGCCCCAAAACCTCATTCAGGATAACCAACCTGGAGGGTGGACAGGCTTACTGCTTCAGAGTGCTGGCTGAAAACAACTATGGCATCGGAGAGGGCTGTGAGACTGCTGGCAGCGTCCGAGCCTCAGGTAGCTACAAGTCATTGTTCTAAGTTAGAATAGATTTTTTTACTCAGCAGAGTAATGTATCTTAGAGTATTATAGTACTTTCATTTGAATTTAAAAAACTTACTTTAACTTAACTTCAACCAAGGCAATAAGTAAGATTTTACTTGCTGTCTCTTCTGTATATATTGTTAATTTTTATTCAATCAAAGTCCACTCCTCACTGCCAGGAATAAAATTCTGGTTAAGAAATAATGAATCCTTTATTTATTGTCTACAACTACGTGAATAATCAAATTAAATAAAAGTTCAAGGTTTTACTTATAAATGTTAAATGAATACAATAGTAGCTACTGCACCAAAAAACAAACAACACAATCCAGTTGAAAAGAACAGGACCTAGATCAGTGGCCAAGACAAAAGTCAGAATAATCTGCCTCCTATATTCAGATCTAAGATGAAGGAACTTGCCTTTGAGTGTTTAAACACAAACACAGGCTCAATCTTCACCCATCTTTCCTCCCCCTTCAGAACAACCTGGTCCAGTGATGGACTTCAAAGCCCAGAAGACCACCAAGGACTCAATCGTCCTGGGCTGGAAGAAGCCTATCAGTGACGGCGGAAGCTACGTTACCGCTTATATCCTGGAGCAGAGCGAAGGCGAAGAGAAGTGGAAGCAGATCATGAAGGGCAAGAACACCTCACACACCATCAGCGAGCTGACTGAAGGCAAGGAGTACTCCTTCAAAGTCAAGGCGCTCAATGAGTCCGGAGAGGGGCCACCCACCGAGCTCACTGTCGTCGCAAAGGACCAGTTTGGTAAGAAGTCAGCCATCATGCTGATATATTAGTTATATTTTTATTCTATTTTATTTCTATTT